GGAAATTGGTTTTATCGACACAAAATATGGGTATTAAAAATTGTTACGCAGCTCTACAGATGTGTGATTTCGCATGGCTTCGTGAAAGTCTATACTATACCTATGTCCGCCGGGCCAGGAAGAAACCTGATATGATGGTGGCGACTAGAATGACATGGAACAAGTTGCTTGTAGCTTGTCTTTAGACTGCATTGCTCCTATCAATGTGGGAAAATATAAATAACAGACACGGACAGAGCAAATAACCCAATAACTTGTGATATTCGTAAATCATAACTTCATAACTAATCTAATAAGTTATAAATAACTCATATTTCTTTGATTAAATAAACATAGAAATACATAAATAAGTAATTCTGTCCTAGATAATAGAATGGAACAAATATTTAGACTTCTGTAACTGCGTAGTTAGGTATCTACTTAGATCAAGAACTTGGCCTTGTTTGGCACTGCCACGCCCCTCAAATTGGATACTTGAATAACAAACATAAGATTGAGTACGTTCTCAATCTAACATTTGAATAAGATAAAAATTAAAACCTTATTTGGATGACTAACACTAATTAGTAGCATTTTTATCTAACAGACTAATAGAGTATCTATTAATTACCGTTTGAAGAATAGATTGTAGACTTTGGTAGTTTCCGTCATACGACTAGGCAAATAGAAGCTGTCTAATTGAATAATGACTGTAATTAGGTAACTACTTTCATAATCTCCATACAATGTCAACTAAACACTTTATAAGCGTGCCATACGTAGATTACGTGTAGGTATTAATTATTTCATTATTCAAACATGAGTGCAATGACGCGAAACAGATGATATTAGCAACACACATTAGATCCGCCATAATTTATTACTAAAACAATGTTTTTATTTTGAGAGTGTGTGGCTGTGGCGTAACAAGTTAACAACTGACTAGCTCTCATCTGAATTGCAAATGGCCGCCGGCGTGGAGATGCGGCAACGTCGCACGGGTGGTTGCGGAGCGGCAACGCTGTCTCGTGCGTATTTTTATCAAAGTAACAATCGTGGGGAACTTATCTGTTATCAAAAGGTATTGTGGTCGTCGTCTCGGTCGGATGGTGACTGCCTGAGCGTAGACTGTTCCTTTGTAGGCATTATTTACTAGTACTCGCAAACAACTAGTCTTGGGCTCTTGGCACAGTTTGATGTCATTTCATTTTAGTGGAAAATAACAACAAAGTAGCCGGGTCGAGCTGACTCAGTTACATAAATGATAAAACGGATGTCTGTAGATTTATGCGAGTTTTACGACCCATGTTTAGAATTCAGAATAGAAAGTAGCCTAGGCATCATGTGATTGTAGCTACAAACAGTCGCTGGTTAATTTGCTTAGTTTTTAGTGCCGCATGACGTTTGCTATGAGATTTATAACTTTTGTAAGTCAGAATTGCCAAAAAATGACGATAATAAACGTCAATTACTTATCTCTACTTACTAGTTGCCTAGGTACCAACTGGAGTACCAATTTCTTTTTATTTCTACTAAAGCTAGGATTAGAAAGGCATTTAGATAGCTCGCTATCTCTACATAGATATAAAAGTATCTGTATAACGTTCTAACATCAAAACAAAATCCACACGCACACAGCGAGCTTCAAGTGGCTTTCCATCAGCAAAATAGTGTTCATATAATAACATTGATTTCTACAAAGTTTGTCGACGAATACGGCTGGTTTTGAGCGAAGCCGGAGGGGGCGGGGCGCGGGGTGCAAGGGAGCTAAATTAGATTTCTCCCGGGGGGTGCTTTCCCGGGACCTTGAGGCGGGCCACGCCACAGAATCAGCTGTTCTCCCAGTTGTTTCACCTTATTGATAGTTAAATATCAACGTCGCACGTGTTTCGGATTGTGAACTTGTCAATATTTAGTTTGTTTAGTTGTTCTACTCATGGAAATTGTTGCTCTTGTGCGGTGTAGTGATTTGATCACTTTACATCGATGTTTATAGATGCACGGCTTCTTACTTTTACGTGTTAATTCAGCTAACTACCTTTAGTTCACAGATTAACATTATTAGCATCAATCATGCTACAATGTAAAAGAAATAGTCTGATAAAAAAAGAGAAGGAATATTCCTAACAACGATTCGGACTCAGATCTCAAACTAGATGCAGAGAGTGATAAAATCATAATGAGATGCAAATTCACTCTACTTTTATCCAGTTTTTAGGTATTCGCCATTTAATTTGAATTAATCACGAAACCGGTTCGCATTGTATTCGAAACATTCTATTTCTCAACATTTATTTCATATCATCCTATTTGTATTTGTATATTTCGGCACCTACTTATAAAATATAACCTATTCATAAAACATTAAAGGAATGAATAAAAATCCTCGCTTACGTTGGGTTCGAATTTAAGTCCTGAATTATTGGCTGGCAACCCGCGTTGCTAAGCGACGGCCGCCCCCGGAGGACGCGCCCTCCCAACGCAATTAATTTCGAACCCTCCAGGAATATAGTCGACCTTGCTTGCCCTGCTGATTTCATTTCGACCAGTATTTTGTGCGTCCGAACGCCTATAGATGAAGTGCCTATTTTTCATTATTTCGTGACTTAATTCTCCATGGCGCGACATGTGTAGGTGTAAGTGTAAGGGCCTCCAATGTTCGATTAGGGTTACAAGTTACAACGGAGCGAAGAAAGGGTTACATAGTTCTGCGCAACCCTTTCTCAGAACATGTAGCTACTACGATTATTAGACCTTCAGGGTAATTTTTTTCTTAATTGCTACATGTTAGTCGTTATTTTTGGCACAAATCAACCCTGAATGTTTTTAACGTAATGAATGAATGAAAACCTTGGAATGAATCTGGTTATAAAAATAATTAGGTACATACAGACCTTCTTGTACGAAACATTACAAGGGCTCAAACCCACTCAGAACCAAAACAAATTAATAATATTTTGATTTTATCCTTTACGAACATTTACGTAGCTTGTTTTACTCCACAGATACAAAAGAGAAACGAGGAATTTATTACAATATTAATATTTCGTTAAAATTTATTCATTCTATTAGTACTACATAAATAACTTGGAAAGCTACCTTTAGGCAATTATTTTATAACCTTACCTAATAAAAGGCGTGGCATAATATATGTAGATTGTAGAGGTAATAAAGGGATTTATCTACTGTATGTGGTGACCTCTCCCTGCTTTGAGCGACCCAGGTTTCGTCTTGTTGCAAATGTTCGACTTGCTATTCATTACACATTTTGCGCAGTCTAGAATTACACATGGTGTCGTGCTCATCAGTCATTACATTACAAACTCCAATTAGAGGCAGAAAAAGTAGTAAAACAGAAAATGACGTTTTGTTTGTTGCTTAAGAAACACGTGCTTATTTTTTATGAAGCTGCAGAAGTCAAGAATAATGACGAATACTACTAAGGTCATAATGTTCAATATTCATGAAAAAAAAGCGAAAAATACGAGTATAAAACCGGACACAAATCCAAATCTATCGTCAGCATAAAAACTGTAGAGCTTGCATATTTACCGCGGTTAATATACCAGATATTGAATAATGCAAATGTGCCGCATAATTGCAGATAGCCAGCAAGGAAAACGTCATTAACTGAGAGCGATGCCTTAAACAGGAAAAGTTTGTTTTGCATCGTATACAGACTGGTGCATGTGTGTGTGGTGCGCACTTTCATTTTGCGCGTGTGTTCGTAAGTGCGCAACGCCCTCATGCGCCCGCGCTCGCCAGACGCTCACGTTATCTCGCATTCCACAGATACTATACACCTACATTGTAGCTACCCACACATACATACATAATTGTAACCCAAATAGATATAGACAGTCCGTTTTGACATTTATTCGTTTGTCGTGGTCTTGTTCGTCAAGGGCGTGCTTCAGAATCTCGGAGGCTTGGTGCACGTACTAGATTAAAATGGTCATGCGATGCATGTTTTATCGTTTTCATCTCTACACATTCTGGCTTGATGCCAGCCGTTGCTTTGTTGAGAGGAACTGCGCTTATTAAATGGCGCTCATGGCTAGTTTGTTTTGTTAGTCAGATACTTACACTTTTTATACATGTACATACACACGGCTACACATCGAGCTTTACATAACCAGTATAAACTGAACGTTAAATGTGCGGAAAGATGATGCACCGCGACACCAGGATAAACTGGTTTTGTATACATTGATGTGTGGCCGTATGTACATACATGCCTGATTTACGTTATTGTCTCTGAGATAAGACCAAATAGTCTTGGATTTTGGATTTGCTCTACATATCTCACATAACACCTTTTTCGTTTTTATTAACTTCAAAATTTTTAATATTATCTATTTCTAACAGAGGATCACGATCACGATTTAAAAGTCGTCAAGTGCATGATTATTTTGGCATTAAAACTGAAACAGTAGTTTTTTAATTTTTAATTCGGTAGCCTGCATTCCGAGACTGTGGTGAAACAAATCATCAAATCTTTAATCAAATAGATAGGTACCTTCTAGGCGTTTGGCACTGCTCTTTATTGAATTGAATAAAATTGTAATTTATTGTTATTTTAAACACATTAAGATATAATTTTGATTTGAAAAATGTCGTGGTGGCCCGGAGGTTTAAGACGCCCACTTCTCATGCATGAGGGTGCGGGTTCGAAACCAACCAACGGCAAGTACCAATGTGACTTTTTCCGAGTTATATGTACTTTCTAAGATTATTTAGACACCACTGACAAACGGTGAAGGAAAAACATCGTGAGGAAACCTGGACTTATAATTTCTAATTATAAGTTTGAAATCGCCAACCCGCATTGAGCAAGCGTGGTGATTAACGCTCTAACCTTCTCCGTGTGAGAAGAGGCTTTGCTCAGCAGTGGGCATTTATAGGCTGTTGATGATGATGAAGATATAATTTTGGATACAATCAACAGTTTATTTTATTTTTATTTAAAAAAAAAAAAAAAAAAAAAAAAAAAAAAAAAAAAAAAAAAAAAAAAAACTTTGAGATACCAATGCCGTTTCTAGATTTCTCATTTTATTTTCTTACTTTCTTGTAATTTTATCATTTATTATTGTAATACATACCTAGTTGTAACACGCAGAACGTAGACGTTACATTATCTGAAAATTTAAGTCATTCAGCCTTCTTTATTTCCCAGAACATAAAAACCACATATTGTTGTTCTTCGTGCCGTGTAGTACCGTGTTCTGGTGTGCAAGTCTGTTGCCATAAATTCCAGTTTTGTGAAAAAAAATGCGCTGCTCTAACTCTAAAAACTATTTTCTTACCATTCGAATAACGACGAAGTCATGACACTTAAAATTATTACTTTATCTATCTGAAAATACCACAAGACGTAAGTAGATGCATATATCAGAATAATTTATTTCCCACTTTATCATCCGATGCTCATCAATCAGATAAAGATAAATCGTATTCAGATAAAAATTCAATGTTGCTATGCTAAAATATTGTCTACACAAGTCATTTGCATTCGGGCAACACCTATGTTTTCTCTGGAGATAAATCATCTGCATTAAAACCTGAAATGCTGCATTGCATCTAATTTTGTAGTAAATATAGACCTACCTAATGAAGGAGCCACGAAAAATGTTAAACTACGTCTTCGTTTCGACAAAATTAAAAATACTTACGTCTCACTGTACTTGTCAAGGTTCCTAAATATCCTAAAACCATTTCAATTTCTTAGGTAGATGACTAGATGTGATAAACTATTGTTAAATAAAGCTCTGACTCAAGCGTTAAGATCTCCAGAAGAGACCAACAAATTTAATTAGTATTCCACACAGGTTAGTCAGGAAAAGATGGTAGAATATTATGATGTTTCAGTTTTTAAATTATAAGTCACTGTTGTTATAATGTATACCAGTTTTAAATGTATTTATTTAATTTGTTGCAGGTACAACAAGTTCAAAATAGCCCATGTCACTGATTCCTCGACGCAGAGGTAACGTTCACGCCAATCTTACGATTTACTAGACTTAAATTTTCAAAAATTTCTACAGTAAACATTGCTCAGACACGTTACCAACACCATGTAACTCACTAAATATATTTGTCTAATCTTCATTTATTTTCTTATATTTTTAACGCCATCTAAACTTTATTTTTAGGTTATATTTCGACTATTTTTACCTAGAGTAAGCACTACTACATTATTTGTAGCGCCTTCATCGATGCCATTGTACAGTTTAGCTTCAAGAGGTCACTGGACACTCCGAACACATTCTCGATAGCTTCAATCATTCTTTTGTCTAAGTTGAATCGAACACTTTCAACACGTTCGACATCCGCAGCACGACTGCCGCGAAATTCATTCAACAGGCCAACAGGATGTGGGCGGGGCGTGCGGGACGCGGCGTCATTGGGCGAACGCGCGACTCGCAGTGATGGCCGCCGTCGCATTCAACCAATGAGCGGCGCGCGAGCCGAACGCGCGTCCGTCCGGCGAACGTGCGACGTTGCCAGCTTTTACCAGAAAAAAAAAATACCAGATTCGACCTTCTTAGGACCCCCGGTTTTTTTTTGTTTGGCCGCGTTATCATTCGGGAACGTGTATTGAGGTCCTTATCCGTTTGTGAGATGGTTCTGCGCAGGTGGATGTGTTGTGTTGTGTTATAGTTTATTATGGTGTGGTCCACGCAAACTGGCGAAGTGTTGATTGACATCGTAACGAGGTACTGTACATAGAGCATAGTATACATAATTCGTTATATTTTTATTGTGTACATAAAACACGGCTGAGTCATGTGACATTACAATTACCTCATTGACTGCGTGAGCATTATCACGGCTAGTGACTGTTTATCGCTTAATTCGATGTTTTGAATAAATAAAGTTAGTGATATCGTTTATTTGGTGTAGCTACGTGTAGGTATCAAAGGTTATTGACGTGGTTTCACAATCACATCTTGTGAGCTGGGGTTTGATGCTTGTATTGCATGCTTGCAACTACATGGAGGTCATTGACACTTGTCTGTGCATCTGTCATAGTGTTACATGGACTATGAACTCAACTGTCCTTGTTGGGACATACCTACCTATATAGTTAGGTACAATCTTTTAGCTTGTCTGTCTGTCGATTTGTTTTAATTACAGATTATTATTCTCTACCTGCATTAGGTACTAATATATAATATTGATACACACCTATATGTAGGTATAACCTAACCTAACCTAACCTAACCTAACCTAATTACCTAGCAAGTCTTTGGCAACACTTACATGGTACATTAACACCTCTACATAAGCACCTACACCCATATACATATGTACCCCCGACAGTAACTTCACTACATACATAGGTATCTATGAAGTGAAGTTATGTAGGTATAGCTATCATTCTCTTTAAAAAATTGAGTTTTAAGTTTTTAACTGATGGAGAACTTGGAATGTGTGTTAACATATCAGAATTGCTGAAACAGAAATGGAAGCTGTAGTCAGGAAATAGATACTTAGAATTCTTGAAATAGGGGTCTAATTAAAATATCTGTAGGGTCAAGAAACAGATAGGTACTCAGAACTGGTCTAAGTGAAGAAGTACTGAGCTTAGGACAGGAGCCATCTACCTTGATACCTAAGATATTTATGTATACATGTGTATGTTTTTGTGAAACAGACTTTAATCCTAGTAAATAGAATTCAGAGTTCAATGTGAAACACATGGAACCATGAAACAAGTTCATGATACATTTTCCAAGTAAAACCAACTTGACTTACAAAGATAGAACTTCAAAGTAACAACTGAACTACACGGTTAACGTTAACCTAACACGTTTACGTTTGACTAACGAGATCAAAGTTTCACTGAAACTTTCCTTTTAGACTAGCCTCTGCCAGCGGTCTCGCTCATGTCCTCGTGGGGTTTTTTTTAAGGGGGCAAAATCATGGAATGACTGCTCCCGTCTGGGTGAGGCGGGAGGGAGTGTAAGACTCTTATTGACTAAAAACCACCCCATTCCTTCTCCTGCGCGTCAAGCCGGAGCCCCGGTTACCCATTAGGTTCTCCGCGACTCCGAGTCCTCGTGGGATAATAGTAGCTTATGTGCTATTTCAGAGCTTAATCCACCCCTGTTTCAAGTTTTATCCCGATCCCTTCAGCTGTTTTGACGTTATTGAGTAACAAAGATAGTACAAAGTCACAAAATTTCGCATCTACCTCTATAATATCAGTAAGAAGTTTACCAAGAACACTAGGTGACTATTTTTACTCCACCAGTATTAGTCTGTATTCAGTATTTGTCTGCAATTATCTCGCGATTCACTAAACTGATTTTGATGTAGTTTTCGGAGAACTGTGTTCTAATTTTAACTAATTCTCATAGTTACTCTCCAACTAGTAACTAGTTATTGTGATGTCATGATGTAACCAATAAGGCATCTGTGAAGTAGTAGGTCACTCACTAGACTCACTACCTATGCTAAAGTAGTTCGTGACCTATTGCGATGCTGACGTGATATTATAGTGCATCAATTTTATCAGAACACTAGTATTGATTGATTACTAGTCTTTCTAAAATATCTAGTCAATTGTGTACTTGCCAACTAGTCAAATTCAATACTTTTTTCGAACTGTCAAAAACGACAGTTTGCTATGAATTTTGTACGAGATTGTGTATTGTGACGTCACGTTTTTTTAGCGTCAAACACATACTTATTTCTTAAAATTTGCTGGAAAATAACTAAAATTAAGTTGGTCATAAATCAATTACTTAAAGTGTGATTGTTTTGAACAGTCGAAACAATTTATTTTTGATTGGAAAGTACCTAGGAGTCTGTCTTTTAGAATTTTGACATAATTTTGGCTCCATACAAAATGTATGAAAACTATCTCTATTGGCAAATCTACCGACAATAATGTAGGTTTTTGAAAAATGCAAAATGCAAAGTTAATAAGTAAACCTACTTGGACCATCTTTGTATTGTTTAATCTGTGGACACGTGGCATGGCTGGGACGCGACGTTATACAAAAATATAGGTTAGTGGATTACGTCACCACTCGGTCCTCGTTAATTCACATGCACACAGAAGTCGTTGTCTCGAGATGAGCAGAGTTCTATTTAAAGGTAGACGAAAATTATATTTATAGTAGTAGGTTAAGAGATTGTTTATGATAATCTAATCTTTGCCTATTTCGTTTGCTCGAATAAAATGTTGTTAGTATGAAATGCATGATGTTGCATCATTTACATGTTTCTAGTGGGTTTCTAGTTAGTCAGATGTCTTTATGACCTCAAAATGTTCACATCCTTATTGTAATTCATACTATGTACTATATTATGCAGGTAGACTTTATGATTAATAGATCTGTTCATAGAGTTAAAAATTCGCACTAAATATGCGGGTTTCATATATACCCAATTACTTAGAACTAATCATAACATCATAAATACTAGAAATCAGTTCTAGAACGAGACCTTGGCTTTTAACTTCGATTACCAGATTTTGTATTTATTATTATTATCCATTATACTGTAGGTATCTGTGCCATCCACGCGAGATAACGCAACGACCGGGTGGCTCAACTTATCTGATAAATTCAACGAAAATACAAGATATACTGATTAAGGTCTCAGGTCTCATTAGACCAAACAATGCTGAAGTCTAAAGCATAATGACTCTGTTAGATAATAGACTAGAGCTCTCAAAGTTGCGACATAATGGCTTCATTAAAGTCTCTTCCAGACTCGAGCAGATCGGTCATTAAATCGATGCATTGTGGAGTTTCCAACAAACACGAACCTAATTACGTATTAAGCAAACCGTATTGCATTAATTACCAATCTTTATTTACATAAATTACGACAGAAAAGTGAAAAACATTGTATGATAAATGAATGCTTGTGTTCACTCGTAATCAGTATAAGATTTGGTGGTACTAATTAAAATATTGTTTCTTTCGATAAAAAGAAGGTGACCCCACCACTTCTACCTGTTTATGAAGTCTAGGCATTCCGTGAAGGTTATTTCGGGCTGCTGGTCGAATCGAGCGGCACGTTACATCGACATTATGCCCTTGGTAAATCGCGATAAACTAGCTGAATAAAATGTTATGTGCATTGCGCATGCACGTTTGCGCAGCACGGATTTAGCATAAATAAGGTCCATCTATTTTTAGTGTAGCACGTATTTCATTTAGCATTTTATTATAACCTAATTTACTCTAGGTTAGCTCATGGTGGCCTACAGATTTTGAATCTGTGAAATAATCTAACTTAATCGGGTTTGACAGAACCTGTAGCATAGCCATAAAGCGTAATACTCTTTTCCCCATGTCTATGTGATATGTGATCTATAAAATGTCTTTGGACTAATATGGACGCCGAGGCCTTTGCTCTGCAGTGGCCAGTGGGTTAATCATGGCTGAAAAAAATAAATGAATAAAATAAAATGAACTTACCTGTTTACTGTTCCACCACAATCTATGTTTTTTAATTTGCTACAAAGGAAAAATCGAATCATTCCTAATTAGACCCTTGGAAATTCTAGTCATATTGTTCAGATTAACAGCAGATACCACTGCTTGACAGTCTGCGAGATTAACAAAGCAGAATAAACAAGGTCTTGAACGATAAACGCCTTTTCTGGTAGGTAGCCATTTATTTTAAATCATATTTTTAGGCGACTATAACTCATAAAAACATGTTTGATAATGTTATTTATGTTTGAATTCTTAGTTTCTACCTACTTAAGGTTTTCCTTATGTGTACTATGTACTGGTTTTTATATACCTACATAGTTTTATTGTAACGAAACATTGATTAATGCATTGAAATTACCATTAAGCGGTTTATAGGTGAAAACTAAGTGTACAGTCGAAATGTTAGACTACTAAATAATAATTAGATATTTAATTTATCCACAATGAATGTACCTATGTTTAAAAGTTAATACTTATTTATGGAGGTAGAAGTTCTGTTTCTTCATTTTTTATCTGGTTTGGCAATACAGAGTATGAAACAGTTAGGTTTACATAAGAAACTAATTAGATTTGTGCCTAATTTAACTGTTAAGTTCTAAAATAATTAATACTATTCCATTTTACACTTTAATTCGGTAGTTTTAGCCAATTTTCATGCATAAATTCCTATTGTCTTTACCTTAATTTTAACGAGAAATATACCGCGTACTGCGTACCTGCTTTCATTACTTCCACTCACCACGTTATTAAAATAATAATTATAATTTACGTCACCAACGAAAAATTAAATTAATTAAACCATTTTCAACGAGCCTGAGCGAAACGAGCCGTAATATTTTTGCAATTCCAAATGTCTCTAGGGAAAATTCCGGAAAATGGAATTGAATTGCGCTACGTGTCCTAGGCTGCATTTTATGGCCTTATAGCATACACGCGGGCTATAATCTGAGTACTAAAAGGGGGTGGGGGTATTATTATATTACACCCTGTATAATGTGGGGGAGGGAGCACCCTGTATATAATATTTCTAAGTTGTAATTGGACTGGTAATGTGAGGCTGGAATGTAAGATGTGTCTCATGTTGCCATGTAGGTAGGTAATACAATACATATTACGAAGCTTTTTTGCTTTTAAAGGCGTAGGTAAGGTTATTTTTAGTAGCTACTATGTTCTTATATTTTGTGAGAGAATATGATTTAATTAATTATGAATATACGTTATTCTTTTTCTAACAACCGAACTAAACGATTACTATA